AAAAAGAACAAGTACAGGCTCTTGTTTTAAGGGCTGTCCTGTTGGCGTTATAGTCCATTAGCTAAACTGCTGATGCGATGCAATGAGAGCATCAGCACTGGATGTAATTTCCTGACTGCATTTAGAAATGTGGTGTGTGCTTTTGGAAGCTCTTGTATAACCACACAGACCTTCAAAAACAGTGATGGTGGAATGCTCTGCTAAAGAGAATTAGCCAATTTCATGCATTTTTGGACTTGGACATCAAGACTTAGAGTGGATGAGTACCTTGGCCAAGATCACAGAAATAAAAGCCAGTGGTTGTCAGAGTGTGGTCCCACTAGCACTGTCTGCATCACCTGGGAAATTGTTAGAAATTCAAAATCTCCGGACCTTCTGACAGACTATGGGGGAGGGGCCTAGGAAGCTGTGCTTGAACAAGCTTCCAGGTCGTTCTTATGTAGAAGTGTTCCCTCACCCCTCCGTGTTTTTATGAATTTTTTTCCCCTACATCCTTGTAGTCCCCATAGCTCTCCCACCACCACTATAGTCTCTTCTATTCTTCCCTCCCCTGTTTTGACCCCTCTTGCCCCCACCTCCCTTGCTGTATGCCTCAGATCTGTGGTCAGCTTTCTTATGCAGAAATTTGAAAAGTTCTTATCTAGGCCACAGTTAGATCTCTTACTACCAATCCACTCCTCTTTGTTGTGTCCTCTCTATGCTACGATGCTTCTAGGGGAAAATAAAGAACACTTTGAATGCAGGGACAGTGCCCCTTAGGACTTCACTCGGTTATTTCGGTGGAAACCTGAGGCTGGGGGCCCATTTATGACCTGAATTGTTGCTTTTTTGCTCCACATGCTAGCTCCATCTCTCTCCATCTACGTGGGTGCTAGGCCAGGGATGCTTTCTCATCATTACTCTGGGGATTTAGCCAATGTCAGAATGTCTTTTTTTGTGTGAGTTGTTATGTATGTTTATAGTACAAAGCAGAGGCCTAAATCAATCACAGAGGTCTCCAGGTAAATTCCTACCTTGTCAGTGAAAATGTGAACAGTGAGCATTAAGACTGATGGGGTACAGAGTAGGCTGCCCCCAAATGGGCCACTTTGACATATTGATTCTTTTGAACTAACATTACTTAAGAAACAGCCAGTGCAAAAAGAACACTGTAGTACTCCATTGTCCTTGAAAGTAGTGATGAATTTCTCATGTGAGAAAAATACCTTAATTGTAACAGGATAGAAGGCGTCTTTATCACCAGAGATAGGGAATTTAGGGCTATGTAAACAGTTTCTCCTTTTTTCTTTTATTGTCTCAATTCTCCTTTGTCTAAAAAGAACATACAAAAGCAAATGCTCTGATCATTCTGGCATCTCATATCTGTGGAATGTCCATATGTATGATGTTAAATTTTTCTCTGCTGTTGATCTCTTTTATGTCAATATTATTAGACCAGCCAAAGAACCTGGAAGGGGATATAGAAAGAAGTTTTGTCTCTCCTACAGCTCCCTGCAAGAAGGCCCGTCAGCCTGGGGCCACCCTCAGCCAGGAGGACTTGTTCCCCAGTCCTCTGTTGCTTGGGGAAAATAGCTTGGGTCAGCAGGTACCTCAGTGGCTATGGCCCTGGTGTCTGGTGTGGGGACAAGGGCTGGGCCTCACAGGGTCAGAGTCTTGCATCTCTCCAGAATAACATGTGCGAAAAAGGAGTCTTTGTCAGGATTACCCTGTCTTGCAAACTTCCGGTCAGCATTAATGGACTTTTCCAACACACTGACCCCTTCTGTATCCTTTCCTTTTATATCTGCTCCAACCTGGAGCCTGGCTGTTGGTGGCTGGTGTGCTCCATGCCACCCTCTTCCAGTTCTCTCAAAGTGAAGATTTATGCTTTTCAACTTTCAGATACTAGAGTTGAATCTTCATGAAGCTGTCAGGCAGATAGGGGGAGAAGTCCACTTAAAAGGTTACAGATGTGAAGGAATAAGCCCCGGAGATGCAAGACTTGGAGAGCAGTGATAGGTAAGGGTGGCAGCTCTGTGTATATGCGGTATGGATGTAAGAGTGTGTGCACGTGGTGTGACTGCATGTGGATGAGTGAGGAAACTGACTGGAAGTTTAAAAATGTGGATGTGAGTATATGAGCATGACCGTGTCTGAGTGTGTATGCAGGTGTGACTGTATGTGAGTGCAGGTGTGAGTACACGTGTGAGTATGTGAATGTATGTGCGCACTTCTGTGCTTTCTAAAGCAGTGGGGTTTGCTTGAAGGATAGTATTAGGTGATGATTTGTCCTCAGCCCTCTAAGGAAGGAAGGGACCTGCCCCTTTGCATAATTGCCAATTTTGGAATTGGGCAAGGGTGCCCCCAAGAAGCTGGCTTGATACGAAGATGCTTTCTTTATGGGTCCATATGCTTTCTCCTGTCATTCTTTTATCTTCCTAGGACATTCTTTGGTTTGCTAACATAAAAAATAAAATATGCTATCTCTGTATATAATTAAGTCCACCTACACATCAGTCAAATTGCATACTAAAACTCAGGCATTAAAATAAAACCTAGGAATTAGGTTTGTCTTATTTCTCTAGAAGGAAAGACCTTTAAGAATGTTTCTGGATTTTATCTAGCAATTTCACTTGGTGTAATGAAGCCTAATCCAGAGATATGGTTAACTTTCCTATTGCGAATGAAAGCTGTGACTTTCAGATAGAGCTGCAACTCCTAACAGGAGCACCTGACAGAGCCGTGACCCTGCAGGAGACCAAATGTAATTTCTTTCCTCCCAGGGCCTGTGACCAACAGGAATTGCTCTTCTTGATGCCATGCGGACAGCAGTAACCTGTATGTGACTCAGACTAACTTAAGTTTCAAAAATCAAACTGAAGGGATATTTAGTCTGTCATAGTTTAAAATCAGATATTCTGCCATCAGTCCCCTCTAAATACAAAAGAATTTTTAACCATCTTTAGAAAACAGGTGCATTTTTGATGACCTTCCTTAATGCACACGAATCAAACTTGTGCATTTGCATTTAAGCAATTTTAGGAAGCTGTGGAAATGTTTTTTTTTTCCCTTCTAAGGCAGGAGGTTAGAATTAAGATGTCATTTTGCAATAGGTAATGTGAAAAATCATGTGTCCCCATAGCCTGCATAATGTGACATCAATTGGTTATTCTGTCATCCTTATGGGGGAAGAAATCCAGAATTCATTTCTTTGTAGTAGCTTCAGAATAATGTCCTTTGGAAATACATGGTTAGTTGTCTGAACAGAATGTGTTGGGGCAGCTGCCTCTAGGATTGATGAAGGCTCGTAGATTTTTTTTAATCGATAAATTGATAGGAGCATTAAGATGAAGATTATCCACCCACCCCATATACACCTTGAAAAAAAATTTGGCTACTTCCTGTGTAAAGTGGCATGTTATTATTGGGGGGGAGGGGGCGGATTGCTGCAGCTCTTCCTGGCCTGGGGGCCACACCAGGTGCTGTACTTGGGGTCAAGTTTCCTACTCTGCACTTGGAAGGATAATTGCTCTTAGTGCTCCTACTGCCAGGAGTAGCATCTGGACATCTGCGGTCACAGTGACATTAAATATAGGTCAAGTTAAAAACATCTGCTCCTAAAGAGAAGCCTGGATCAGCACTGAAATAATTTGACTGCTGTTAGCTCAGACAGTCCTGGTACTGAAGCAGTTTGGTTTTACCCCACATCAAGGAGTAGATGTGGAAATAGAAACTTAAAAAATTCTTGTGACTCTGCTAATCTAATGTCAGATGCTGTAACAGATCCTGATCAGCTGCCTCATTAAACTGGTGTCCTCATTCATGTTGCTGCCTGATGTGAGCGTGCTTTAGGTGCTGAGGGATGCCAGACTCCTTCCCTCTTGTCTTTGCCATGCCTGGGTGGGGTCCCGAAGCTGCCTTGCTGGTTGACATCCCTCCTAACCTGTGTGGTGGTGGAGGGGGGAGTGAGAGAGAGTGGGGTTCTGTCTCTGTTAGAGGCCGGACCTGTGTTATTTCTGCTCTCATTCTGTTTGACTAAAGCTCAGTCAAATGGCCATACCCTAACTGCAGGGAAATCTGAGAATGTATTTTGACTGTGTCCCCTGGAAGAGGAAGGAAAGAATTTGGTGATGAGGTCCTAGTTTAAGCCAATGTCTCTCAAACTTGAGCGGCATCAGAGTTACCTGGAAGCTTAATACAGCACAGCTACCTGGGCTCTTATCGCAGTGTTTCTAGTTCTGCAGTATTTCTGATTCTGGGGTGCGGCCCAAGAATTTATATTTCAAGTAACCTTTTAGGTGATGTTGGTTCTGCTGGGCTAGGGACCACACTGAGATACATGCTAGTCATGAAAATGGAGGTATATCTTTGATATAGTGACTGAAGAGCTATAAGGAAGAAGAGGGCGATGGCCTTAGCTGGCCACTTGGATTGTTAAAAAGAAAAGTGGAAAATATTAGAGGAATTGGAGTTTTGGAGGATTGAGGCATCAGATGAGATGGGGGCACCTGGCTCTGCAGGAGGAGGAGGTTGGGCATCTCCCTGCCAGGCTGTCAGCTCCTGTAGCTCTCTTGCAGCAGGAGGGATGGCAACTAAAGTACCCAAGCGTAGGCACGGGTGAGGTGACATGGAGCAGTGACAAGGGGGATGTTTTGTGAGAATCTGAGGAGAGATGTTCGATGGTGGAGTAAACCAAACCTGTAGCAGTTATTCTGTCATCTGAGGTTTACTGTGGTATCTAGGCATCAGGTGAAGTGGTGGGCATTGTACCAAATCCTGATGGACCTGGCCCTCACTTGAAGTGGCCTGATTCTAGGTCCATTCTGACTTAAAGACTCAAGTCCTCGCTCCCTCTTTGGGTGGTCAAAGGGGGGCTGACTTCCCTGGGGTTCCTGAGAGGGACTTGATTTCTCACTCCCTGTATTTGAAGCCTCCAGGGCAAAGATTCCTTTGCTTGATTTCTTCTTTGCTATGAGGAATGGGCTGGGGAAAAATTGATGCAATGTGGTTTCTTTGCACAGGTACTTCGTGCTGGATTTTGACGCTGGCATCCTGCAGTATTTCGTGAATGAGCAAAGCAAACACCAGAAGCCTCGAGGAGCCCTGTCTTTATCAGGAGCTATTGTGTCTCTGAGCGATGAGGCTCCCCACATGCTGGTCGTATACGCTGCTAGTGGAGAGATGTATAAACTGAGAGGTACGTGCTTCTGCTAATTTTTCAGACCGGTCCTGTGGGCTACACACATGGTTACTATGGTGACAACTGGGAGGGAATTTAATCACCTTTATCAGTTTGCTGTATTGGAGGGCTCTGCTGACTGACAGTTGTTGCCTCTCTTACCCCTGGGGTGGGAACATGAAACTGAGATTAGGAATTACTTGTCCTAATTTACTGAGGAATTAAGGAGAAAGGAAAGGTGAGTGATTGCAAAGCCCACTGAGCCTTAGGAATTCTGAAGATTTTTAATATTCACTCAGTATGTGTTTTCTTTAACCTTATAGTCAAATTTGAATGTTCACTATAGTGCCCTGTGGGGCTGTGCTATAAGGACAAAGCAAACCTTTTAAGGATCATGGTGCTCTCCCTCCCTCACCCTGGTTTCTCTAGGTCCATCTGCTAGTGAAGGACCCCATCATTTACATTTTATTTAATCTGTTGGAGTATTAAAGGCTGCTGAGAAGCCAACCAGTGTTAATTTCATTTTGTATGTTTTTCCCTTTCTCTTTGCTTCTGGACCACTTGGGTCACTCAGCCTGCTTCCTTGTTGGTGCAGACAGCTCTCAGGGGAGCCTAGCATTTAACCATAACTGTAGCCCCCTGCCCCAACCACAAGGCACATCGATCACACACGTTTTCAGAAATGTCAGACTTGACAGCGGATATCTAATTTGATCATTGGCCCATTCTCCCAGGGTTTTGTTATAGTTGTATTGTGATATTTCCTCTGTCAATTTTCTTCTAATGAAATCACAAAATAACAAAAATTTAAACACATTTAGCAGTACACACGCGTGTGCACGCACACACATACAGAGACCATGTTAAGGCTTGAGGAAAGGTAGCCTGTATTAAGTTTTGGGGGTGGCTGATAATTCTGCCCACTTCCATGTAAGTGGTGAGTACAAAGGGAAGTTGCTCTAGGCCTCATGGAACTGACCAAGATAGGTCACACCTCTGTCCAATTTGTACTACTCTATCTCGAAGTTTTACTACCAGAAGATGGAATAAACTGATGTTTCTGTATTACGCACATACAGGTTGTATTTCAGAGTCTATAAAACAATCCAAAGCCCTATGAAATAAAAATGCCTATAGATAAGTTTTTCAGTTTTGGGGAAATGTGCTAAGATTCATGTTCTTTTAGGTTCATGTAGTATGCACTCCAGCCGGCTAGATTTATATGGTCCTTGGTTTCACTTTGCTGTTTATTGCTTAATAAATTGTCAGAGCAGAAACAATAGCAGGTGAAAAACTTAATGCCCCACCCTCCCCCAGTCTGTGGTTTATAAAATGACACAAAGCCATACAGAAGTAAAATCCAGTGCATTTCACAGTTGAGCCATTTCATTTGCTTTTGAATTGCTAGTATTAAACGTCAGGTTTTTTTTTTTTTTTTTTAGGGTAGTTTTAAAAGCAAATGTAAAATTGTATTGCTGTCAGCTATAGGAAAAAGTAGGATAGATATCTGCATCTTTAGAGCTGGTGTTGGTTCTTCTCACAGGACCTGGTGTGAATTTTCACGTTTCACATTTCCCCTACATGGAGAGTTGAATCTTGGTGCCCTTAGGGGCACAATTTTGGGGGAGGTTTTCTATGCTGAGCCTTGGGATATGGCCACAAATTGGCAATTTTCAAGTTCACCTGGTCACTAAGGAAAAAATTCACCTGGTCTTAGACTGTCTGGTGCTCGAAGTTCTTCTTAAAGTTTAAGTTGAGGTTTATTGAAAGACAATTATGCCCATTTTTTATGAACAATTAAAATTTCCAGAAGGCCCCACACCTCCCTGGTGGCGCAGGGGTTAAGACACAACCTATAAAGCTGTCCGCAGCCATTGCAGCACAAGTTCGATCCCTGGCCAGGGAGATAGCCATATAACACAGCAGACCTCTTCTGACTTGCCCCCTGCTCCCCTCGGAAGTGTATTTCAGTCAGTCTGCCTGTTCTGGTTCCCACTCTGTCTCTGGTGAATCCTCTCACGGCCCAGACCTCTGGCCTGTACTCCAGTTCTTGTATGTATAAATAAATAAATCTGTAAAAAAATATTAAAAAAGTTTCCAGAGGGAATCATGGTTTTCTACATAGTCAATATTTAATGCACTTAATATTATATTAAAATATTTATGCAAGTTAATTATGCAATTCAATTGATTAAATTTTATTAGAGCCTGTTACTTTTCTGAATTATTTTAAGAAAATAATTTTATGTTTGAGAAATGGGAGTAGAGAAGGAAGATAATGACTGCAGTTGATAAAGACTCTTTGGGGGAAATTTGAGCATCTCTAAGGGCAGCATTTGGCATCTTGTTCTATCCGATCATAATATGAATCTTTGAACACAGAATAACATGACACTTCACCTGAATGCTTCCTTTGTAGATGCTACTAATGCCACAGTCCTACTCCAGCCGATAACAAAAGGTTCTGAAAACTGCTTTGATTCTCATATTAGTCTCATATTAGGCACTTTGAAAAATAATCGTTTTCCCTTCTCTGCTGCCTTTTTATAAAAGTAAAAATGACTGTTTTTATAGGAGGTTGAAAGGCAAAATTTTAACATTTTCTGAATACATACATTTCAGAATACATTTTTAATGTGGTTTAAGAAGAATTTTCTGTCCTGATTTGACACACACACACACACACACACACGTAAGTACAGGCTACTTGAGAATATTATAAGGGTCATTTGCATTTCCCTGTTTTCGCTCTTTACACCTTACTCCTGCTCCCCCCCCTCCGCCCCACTTAGGTGGGTGTAGTAATAAGTTGGATGTGTTTGGGAACAATTTTTGCTAGTGTTTTTCTCTATTTTAGCTGCTGATGCAAAAGAGAGACAGTTTTGGGTGACTCAGCTTCGAGCTTGTGCCAAATACCACATGGAAACGAATTCTAAGGTAAGTAACCCCCGGGGAAGCCTGGAGGCACTGGGATAACTGGCTGTCTGCTCTTCTGCCCAGTTACCTGTTTCTTTAGGGAAGCTGGGTTTCACATACGTTCTTAAGTTTTATCCACCATAATGGAATTCATACTTGTCTGGTGGCATTTAAATTTAAAGCCAAGAGAAAAGTAATAGAATTTGCTCATCGTTAGAATGAAGAAGCATGTATTCACTTTATTCGAACTGATTCTGGAAGGATTTCTTTGCTTTATGAGTTGTCAGTTTAGGCAGCTGTTAATTGGTCTATTGATGATTTCATTGTGGAGGCAGAGTAGTCAGATTTGCTGTTCACAAAGGCTTGTGGTTGGCACTGATCCTTAAATAAAACCTGGATCCCAAATTCACTTTGTATTCGGCAAGGAGCTTTTGCAGTCTGAGTGGAGTGAGTGATAATGTTCTTGGGTAATTTAGCATCCACATAGGAATTAATTTCTCAGTATTCAGTCTGAGATCTTGGATGAGATGTGTGGGGGTAGGGTATAGACATTTTCATTTATTATTTGGAGGGTTTTCTATCATTAAAGTATAGGAAGTAACTGTAAAATTTATTCAGGGCAATTAATATTTGTTAATGTTCAAAGGACTACCTTTTTATATCATTCCTGCAAATTTAGTTACTCTCTCTGGTTGCTGTTTTTACCTGTATTCCATGTGTTTGATAGAAAGACCCACACTTAAATTTCTGACACTGCCATTTACTATAACCTGCCTGCTGTCTTGCTCAGGGTTGTAGAAACTGCCTTGCTTAGTTAAATTTCCTGTCCTGCCACCAAATGCAACCTGAAATGATTTCCTCACAATGATTTGTTTATTGCTTTTTTTCCCTAGAGATAATTTCTTTCCCATGACTTGCTTAATATAGTCACTTTCATTGTAATGCTCCCCTTGATTTGCCCAGAACAGAATCTGGGTGACTGAAGGTATGAGCCTACTTCTAAAGCTTTCTCCTCTGTGGTCTCCTTTATTTTCCAGGAATTGTAGTAGCAGTTCCAGACATTTAATCAGTATTCTATAAGCACCTAAGATAGTATACGTTTGTGTGTGTCTGTATATGTGCATGTATGCGTATATAAAAATATGTAACTATTTAATATATATCCCTTTACTCTTCATAATACAGCAGAAGTGGATAAAATGAAAAGGACATCTAGTCCCCATATTTTCTCATTAGAGATAATTGCTCCTAACTGATCTTGTCTGTCATTTTGGTAAGTTTAGTCTTGGTAGAATGTAATATGGATATATCTGTATATCTACACCTATTTTTTAAACAAATGGGACCATTTAATGCATATTTTCCCTTTTTTGGGTTTTTTTTACTTACTAATTTGTTTTGAAGTTCTTCCCCTATTAGATACAGGGATCGACTACACTCTTTTAGGGTGACTCACTGTTATTCTGAGGAATGAATGTCTGTGCTTTATAAGTCCTCTACTGGTGGACATTTGGATTGCATGATCTATAATGAACACATCTGTTCATATATCTTTGTGCCTCGAGGTGTATATATGTGAATTTATACCAGTGGAAAGACAGGTCATAGAGTATGTCTTTAAATTTTCATAGACAGGCCTTAAAAAAAATTTTTCATAGAGGCCCAATTGTCTTCTGAAAAGTTGCCCAAATTGTACTCCCACAAACACTACATATAAAGGTGCTTCCCCTATCACTGGCCATGGCTCTTATTAACATTCAGTGTTTGACAGTCTCATGGAGAAAAATAACCCCATAATTTTTATTTTCACTTTTAAAGTCATGACTGGGGCTGAGTATATTTTCATTTGTTTATTGGCCACTTGTATTTCTTTCATGTCATCAGCCCGTTTATATGCTTCTCCCATTTTTCTATTGAGATCATCTTTTTTTTTTTGACATGCGCGGTAAGTGTATTAAATATATTTGTCCTTTGCCTGTAATTTGTACTCTGGATATTTTCTCCTAATAGGTTATTTATATTCTGATTTTGAACACATTGCTATGTAGTTCAATTTATGAATATATTCGTTTTTGGTTTATATGCTCTGTAGACAGGTTTTCTCTGTGCCAAAATATGAAAACACTCTTTAGAGTTTCTTCCAGTGAGTTGAATAATGTTTAAATATTGATTCATCTGGAGTTTATTTTGGGAGTGAGAATTGAGGGAGTGAAACCAAAAGTTGAAGTGCACTGGTGTTTTGATGAATCACCAGAGACAAGGGAAGGTAAAGACTTCATAATGTAGTAAAAATGAGGAGAACTTGAAGGAAAATTTGACTTCCTGAAATATTTGCTTGTTGGTTTTAAGAACATGATCTTTTAATATTATTATCAAAATAAATAAATTTGAAGCGAGGACCTGTTGGATTACTTACTTGGGAAGTGGAGGTGAGTGCTTTCCTCACTTGCTTATAGCATACCTACCATGATCAATTAGAGAATAATATTTTTTTTTAAAGATTTAGTTATTTATACAAGCACTGGGTACAGTCAGAAGCACGAGAGGGTGAGAGAATTCACCAGAGCCAGAGCGGGGAGCAGAACAGGCAGAAGGACGAAGTACACTGCTGAGGGGAGCAGCAGGTGGCAGGAGAGTTCTGCGTGCCATGCGGGACCCTCCTCCGGAGGCCGGGGAGCAGCTGGGGATTGAACAGGCGCTGCAGAGGCTGCGGGCAGCTTCGCAACCCAGCACTCAAACCCTGAGCCACAGGGGAGGCCCGAGAATAATAATTTTTAAATTGTGAACATATAATATTTAGCAGAAGCATTTTTTTTACTTTTATTTTTTCACATGTCCCGATCTTTTTCTTTTTTTTCTTTTAACATTTATCATTTAAAATTTTTTTAAAACAATATTTGCTTCCCCCACCCCCTCAGATTGAGTCCCCATAGAATTTCCTTCCACAAGGCACCCGTGCACCATCACCACAGTCCCCTGTGCTCCTCCCTCCCTCCCTCTGATCCCTCTCCCTCCTCCTCCCCTGCAGGATGTCTCTGGTTTATAATTGTCTGTTTTTGCTTTGTTGTGTTTTGTACTGTTATTTTTTTTTTACACTGATGTCTTATTTGGTTCCCCTGTATTCCTGTTATAAGTGAAACCATCCAATATTTTTCTTTTTCCTTCTGGCTTATTTCACTGAGCATAATTCCTAGCAGAAGCATTTTGAAGTACTAAAGTTGCTTAGGCAGAAATTAGTAGTGAAAATGAAGTTAGACTTAAGTGAATATAAACTTGGCATCCAGTTAATTGTTGGATGGCTGTTTAATTTGCATCATGGTCATTAGGAATTAGAAGCTCTGTCCTCTCTTTACTGAGTTCTTTTTCACTCTTTCTCAGCAAGTCAGATCCCTTTCCAGTGGATTGTAGAGAATAGTCTACCTACAGATGCTTACAATTTAACTTTTTAAAAACTTTTTATTTTTTACTGATCATGTTCGTTTAGAACATTGGGCATGTTTTAAGGTTATGGGCTCAGACCTCTTCAAAAGTATGTTGCTACACCATAACCATCTCCAACAATTATCCTTCATGTTTCATTTGGTCCTTTCCACCCTTTGCTTCCACAGTGCTCCCACTCTGGTAGCTTCAGTTCTGCAGTCAGATTCCAAGCTTTTGGTTTAGTTTAATTTTGTCTGTCCCTTCATATTTCATATGAATGAAATCATTTGATATTTGCCTTTTGTCTTCTGACTTACTTTAGTTAGTATAGTCCCCTTGAGTTCCATCCACATTGTTGCAGATGGCAAGATTTCATCTTGTAATAGCTGAGTGGTATTCCACTGACATCTTTATACAGTCATCTGTTGTTGGTCACTTAGGTTGTTTCCACAACTTGGCTATTGTAAATAATGCTGCAAAAAACATATGTCTCCCCTTTGAACAGGTGTTCATTTCCCCCAAAGAAATACACAGATTCATTGCAATTCCTATCAAAATTTCAATGTCATTCTTCAAAGAAATAGAGTAAAGCTGAAATTTATATGTAACCACAAAGACCCTGAGTAGCCAAAGCAATTCTGACTGAGAGTGGAGTCTTTACTTTCCCAGACTTCAAACCAAACTACAAAGCTATAGTAATTAAAGCAGTATATACCAGGATAAAAGTACATGCACAAATAAATGGAATAAAAACTTAATTCATGTGTTCCCTGTAACAAATATTAGGCTGATGAAATGGTGTTATCATTTAAACTGCAGAATAATCAGTTTCTGGAGTTGCAAATGGCTTTAAAGACCTAGATTCATCTCAGTCAGTTCCTATCCAGAAGTGAAAAAAAAAATGAAGAAAAAATTGTTTCCAGAGACACCTTTTATTCAATGTAAAGACCTACTTTCTATTCAGAGATTATATTGCTTTACTTTTGGAGTTAAAATAATTTTTTTAATTGTGGAAGATGGTAGAGTATTACTTGAAATTGTCTTTTTAAAAAATATTCAGGTTTATCAAGGTATAGTTACATAAAGTAAAAGGAATGAGTTTTAAGTGTAAAGCTCATTTTTTTGCTTTTTTAAATTGGAAGACCACTGTAACATATAATGCACATGTGTGTCATTAAAAATCAACATTGGGATGGGAAGAGAGGCTGGAGGAGGCCCAATGGACTGTTGTGGGACCTTTGGTGCTCTGGTGGTGGGGTGGTGAACCAAAACACATCCAAAGAGGTGTAAACCTACACTGGCCAAACCCATGCAGTGTTCTAAACTAATGTAACACAACAAAGATTTTTTTAATATAGAAAAAAGGAAACTGACATGTGTATATATATACTTTACTAACTTCATCGCTGAAAGTTTAATTCTATCCTTCACTATTGTCCTCTTTGTCCCAATTTACCCACCCTGTAATTAGTCGGGCATTTGAAATAGTTTATAATATTCATTGTATTTGAAATCTTTTCTCTGGACTCCTGGCCCCAGACCTGACTCCAACTTTGCATTTACTACTTTGGGTTCTGATGATCTAGTTCCTGGTCTGACTC